CAGAGAGTATCCCTGCTGCTATTTGCAGCTGGCTGTTTTCTGTGTACTTTTTGGGCTCTGGTGCTGTAGGCTGGAGATCTCTGCTTTTGGTTTAGACACCCCTCATCTCAGGGGGATCCAACTGGCCCTTTCAATATCTTTCTGGTTTTGCCACCTGTGGGTGCCCCGCCTGTCTTCTTGAGTCTCTAACACACTGCTTACCAGTTAGATTGCACTAAAGCTGATTCTTCTGTCTCTGATGTTATAAGGCTCCTCTCTCGCTATTGTTCAGTTGTTTGTTCCAGGTGATTTCTCCACAATTTAATTGTAATTCCAGGTTGTTCTTGGGAGGAGGTAAGTGTGACTTCCACTCATTCCTCTGCCATCTTGATCAGCCTCTTTTTATTTTTTATCTGATGAGAAAAGTGGCACTTCATTGTTTTATTAATTTGCATTACCTTGTTTATTTGGGAATGTTTTTTATATATTAATAGGCAATATATTCTTTTCCGTGAATTGAAAGTTCATACCCTTGGCCAATTTTTTCTACTAGTTCCTTATCTCTATTTTAGTAATTTGTTGAAATTTTTTGCTCATTGGGATTACTAACCCTTTCCTATGAGTCAAAAATATTTTTTCTAGTCTAAAAGGTTTATTTATTTTCCTTTTATTATGGTACATATTACTATGCAAATATTTTCAAATATATATGCACTCAAATTCATTTTTTTATTTTCTTAATGATTTTTTTTTATTGTTCAAATACATTTGTCTCCATTTTCCCAGGCCCACTTTCCCCTGCTCCCCTACAGCTCCCCCTCTCTCAATCCTTTCCCACTTGCTTTTTCCATGGGTCCTTTATACATGTTAATTGACATGAATCTTCCCTTCCTCTCTCACCCCTCTATCTCTCTTGATTCTGCTGGTTTCTATTGTTATTTCCATGTTGCTGGTTATATTTTCATTGCTTGTTTGTTTTATTGGTTAGTTTCCACTTATAGGTGAGATCACATGGTGTTTTCCTTTTGCCCCCTGGCTTATTTCACATAGCACAATGCTCTCCAGTTCCATCCAATGCTGACATGAAGGATAGTAGCACTTTCTTTCTTTCTGCTGAATAGTATTCCATTTTGTATATGTACCATAGTTTTTTGATCCACTGGTTTATGATGGGCACTTAGGTTGCTTCTAGCACTTGAATATTTTAAATTGTGCTGTTATGTGCTATAAATATTGGGGTGCATAAGTTCTTTTGAATTGGTGTTCTGGGATTCTTAGGGTATAATCCCAGCAGTGGAATTTCTGGGTCAAAAAGCAGCTCCATTTTTAGATTTTCGAGGAAATTCCACATTGTTTTGCACAGTGGCTGCACCAGTCTGCATTCCCCCCACCAATGTACTAGGGGTCCCATTTCTCCACAGCCTCACCAGCACCCATTGTTTGTTGATGTGTTTATGTTAACCATTCTGACCAGTGTGAAGTGGTATCTCATTGTGGTTTTAATTTGCATTTTTCTGATGGCTAGTAATGCTGAGGATCCTTTCATATGTCTCTGGGCCCTGTGTATGTCCCCCTTGGAGAACTGTCTGTTCAGGTCCTTTGCCCATTTTTTATTTGGTTTGCTTGTCTTGGAGTGGAGGCGTGTGAGTTCTTCATATTTTGGAGATCAAACCTCTATCTGCTGTATCATTGGTAAATAAATTTTCCCATACGGTTGGTTCCCTTTTCGTTTTGCTGATGTTTTCTTTAACCATGAGAAGTTTCTTGTTTTGATGAGGTCCCACTTGTGTATTATTTCCTTTATGTCCATTGCTTTAGGGGACTTTTCGGTGAAAATATTGCTGCATGGGATATCTGAGACTTTCCTGCCTATGTTCTCCTCTAGGAATTTTATGGTGTCGTGACTTATATTTAAGTCCTTTATCCATTTTGAGTTTATTTTTGTGTATGGTGTCAGTTGGTGGTTGAATTTCAATTTTTGCATGTAGCTTTCCTGCTCTCCCAACACCATTTGTTAAAGGGGCTTTTTTTTCCCACTCCAGTTTATGCTTCTGCCCTGTTTGTCAAATATTAATTGACCATACAGACATGGGTTTATTTATGGGCTTTCTATTCTGTTCCACTGGTCTATGTGTTTGATCTTATTCCAGTGCCAGACTTTTTCAATTACAGTTGCCTTGTAATATAGTTTTATGTCTGGTAATGTGATCCCTCCTGCTTTGTTTGTATTTTTTTCCTCAAAATTGCTGCGGCTGTTCATGGTTGTTTATGGTCCCATATAAATTTTTGAAATGTCTCTTCTATTTATGTGAAATACATCATTGGCATTTTAATAGCGATTGCATTGAAACTATAAATTACTTTGGGTGTTATGGAAATTTTGATGATGTTCATTCTTCCAATCCATAAACATGGTATATACTTCCATTTATATGTGTCTTCCTTAATTTCTTTCTTCAGTGTTGTATAGTTTTTTGCATACAGGTCTTTTACCTCCTTGGTTAAATTTATTCCTAGGTTCTTTATTTTTCTTGTTGCTATAGCAAATGGGATTTTCCCCCTGATTTCTGCTCCTGCTATTTCATTGTTGGTGTACAAATATACCTTCAATTTCTGAATATTGACTTTGTGTTCTGATGCTTTGCCAAATTCACTTATTAGGTTCAGTACTTTTTTGGTGGAGTGTATAGGGTTTTCTATGTACACTATCATGCCATCTATGAACAATGATAGTTTACTTCCTCCTTTCCAATTTGGATGATTTTTTTTTTCTTGTTTAACCTCTGTGGCTAAGACTTCCAATACTATGTTGAATAGAAGTGGTGAAAGTTGGCTTCCCTGTCTTTTTCCTGATCTTAGTTGGAAAGCTTTTAGTTTTTGCCCATTGAGTATGATGTTGGCTGTATGCTTTTCATATATGGCCTTTATTATGTTGCGGTATGCCCCGTTTCATCCCATTTTGCTGAGTGTTTTTATCATAATTGGGTTCTGTACCTTATTGAATGCTTTTTCCTCATCTATTGAGATGATCATGTGGTTTTTGTCTCTTCTTTTTTATACGTGACATATTATGTACATTGATTTGTGAATATTGAACAATCCTTGCATCCCTGGGATGAATCCTACTTGATCATGGTGGATTATCATTTTAATATATTGCTGGATGCTGTTTGCCAATATTTTGTTGAGGATTTAGTGTCTATGTTAATCAGTGATATTGGCCTGTAGTTTTCTTTCTTGGTTGTGTCTTTATCTGGTTTTGGGATTAGGATGATGTTGGCCTTATAAAAAGAGTTTGGACATCTTCCCTCTTCTTGGATTTTTTTGAATACTCTGAGAATGGCAGAGGTTAGCCCTTCCTTAAATGTTTTGTCAAATTCTCTTGTGAATCTGTCTGGTCAAGGACTTTTGGGTTCCAGTAGTTTTTTTATTACTGCTTCAATTTCCCTAGCTCTTATCACTCTGTTCAGGCTTTCTGCCTCTCATTCATTCAGTGTCAGAAGTTTATAATTTTCTAGAAATTTGTCCATTTTTTTCGAGGTTTTCAAATTTCTTAGCATATAGTTGTTTGTCGTAATTTCTTACAATTCTTTGTATTTCTGTGGAATCAGTTGTTATTTCTCCTCTTTAATGTCTGCTATTATTTATATGGGTCCTCTTCCTTTTTTTTCTTAATAAGTCTGCTTAAATGATTGTTTATTTTGTTTATCTTTTCAAAGAACCAACTCTTGGATTGGTTGATCCTTTGAATTCTTTTAGTCACTTTGTCATTTAATTCTGCTCTGATCTTTATTATTTCCTATCTTTTACTTCCACTGGGCTTTGTATGTTGTTGTTTATCCAGTTCTTGAAGCTGGAAGGTTAGGTAATTTATTTGAAATATTTCTATCTTTTTTAGGTAGGCCTGTGTTGCTAGGAACTTCTCTCTCAGGACTGCCTTTGTTATTTCCCATAGATTTTGGACTGTTGTGTGTTCATTTTCATTTGTTTCCAGAAACTTTTTGTTTTCTTCTCTTATCTCATTATTGACCCATTCATTTTTTAATAGAGTGCTATTCAGTCTTCATGAGTTTGGAAGTTTTTGAGGTTTTTCCTTGAGGTCAGTTTCCAGTTTCAAGCCCCTTTGTTCCCATAAACTGCTTGTTATTAGTTTGATTTTCCTGAATTTGTTGAGACCTGCTTTGTGTCATATCATGTGGTCTATCTTTGAAAATATTCCATGTACATTGGAAAAGAATTTGTAATTTGCTTTTTTGGGGATGAAAGGTCTATATATGTCATTTAATTCCATTGCATCTAATGCATCATTCATTTCCATAATATCCTTGTTGATGTTTTGTTCGGAAGATCTATACATTTTTGACAGTGGGGTGTTAAAATACCCTAGTATCAGTGTGTTTCTGGCTATATCTTTCTTGAAACCCTCCATGATTTTTGTTATAGGTTTGCAGGCTCGTATGTTGGGTGCATACATGTTTAAATATTTATGTCTTGTTGATGGAGTCTTCCTTTGAGTAGTATAAAGTGTCCTTCTGGGTCTCTTTTTATGGCTTTTGTTTTGAAATCTCTTTTGTATGATACAAGTATTGTTACCCCTGCTTTTTTCCCCCTCTCCATATCCTTTGAATATTTTTTCCATCCTTACACTTTCAGTCTGTGTAGGTCCCTTGTTCCGAGGTGGGTCTCTTGTAGGCAGTATATGTGTGAGTCATGTTTTTTTTTATCCATTCAGATATCCTGTGTCTTTTGATCGAGGCATTGCATCCATTTACATTGAGAATTATTACTGATAGCTACTTATTCATTTTTTCCCTTTTTACCTGTATCCTTCTCTTTCTCACTCTTTCTCTTCATCTTCTTAAACCAGTCCATTTAGCATATTTTGCAATGCTGGTTTGGTGGAAAAGTATTATTTTAGCCTTCTTTTGGCTGGGAAACTCCTTATTTCACCTTCCATTTTAACTGAAAGCTTTGCTTGGTAATGCAGTCTTGGTTGTAGGAGGTTGCTTTTCATTATTTGGAAAAATATGGAACCCTTCATGAATTTGCATGTCCTCCTTGCACAGGATCCATGCTAATCTTCTCTGTATAATTCCAATTTTAGTATGTGTGCTTCCAAAATGAGCACTCTTTGTGATTTCTGAGGTTTTCAGTCTTGCTTAAGGTCTTTCCCACACTCCTATGGTCACTAACATTTTCCAATTACTTTTAATTTACTCCACTGATATTCTATATATTTAATACATTGTGATGTTAACTCTGTTGAAATTTACTTACCTGTAAGTTCCTTGAGACCAGGGGTTATGCCTGACTTGCTTATTCATTTATCTATAGTGCTTAACCCAGGGTCTGGAATACAGTAGATTCTCAGAAACATTTGTTGAACTAATGAGTAAGTGAATAAACAGTCATATGTGCTCTCTTTGAATGCATAAACTTTTTTATATCTCTGGTACCTAATACATATGACAAGCACTATGCAAGAGGCTAGTGACACAGTTCTTCCCTTTGAGCAAATTACATATTATCAGAGAAAAATGTCTGATACTAAAATTTTGAGATATTAAGCGTTGCTTTTGTATTTATTGTCATCCTATTACTAAAGATATTAGCACCAGTATATATGCAGCACTCATTGACTCAGGGAAGTGATCACAAGGGAGACAGACAAAAGAGTCACATTTTGGCCTCTGAGTTTCAATAATCAAAGTCTAAGGATATGTCATACTATAAAGAAAAACTATGCAAAAGTCATTTGCAACTTCCATCACCTCTATAGTTTACAGAAAAAAAATCTACTTAATGGAGGGAATGGAGATAAAGAGAAATAATAGCTTAAGGAGAGCTTAGTGAATGTTAGATGTTCAGTAATGACAAGAGACAGGATTGCATTGTTTCAACTTAGCTCCATTTAACAAGGGGAAATATGGGAAGATTTTCAAATATGAGTTTGAACATATGTTAAGACTCAATCATCTCTTTACAATGAGAACCCCAATCTGAAAGCATCTATCAGACAATGGTTTGTGTAATCTCTGAATACAGCTAAGCAGAAATCTCAGGCACACTCCCTTTCTTTGAATTATTTTTTTCAGGTTTCATCTAATCACAAACTCCTTTATATCTCTGATCAGTGTGGGTGACAACACCCAAGGTATGAAGCTAAGTGCTTTAGACACATGAGAATGATGCCCCACTTTAACAAAACAAATATAGTGTAGATGACCCTAAACTGCCCAACTAAAATATTTAGTTTTTTTTTAAATCATTAATTTTGCAAAAATACTCACATGGGCATCTCTGGAGTTAAATTATAACCTTTATATAACTATTTGGAGACTGTGCATTTATGCAATAACAACATAAAAAGAGTTACACCTGCAGAGAGCAGTTAAACAGTTACATTGAAGGAGAAAATGGAAGCATCATTCTTATTAGTTATACTTTCAGGGTAGCTCCTCTTTGCAAATTCAAAACCACTATTTTTTTGTATCCAAAAAAAATTAATATGTAACAAAGGATGCAAGAACATAAAATGGGGTAAATACAGCCTATTCAATAAATGATACAGAGTAAATTTGACAGACATATGCAAACAAAAAAGGATATAGTCCACCTCCTTACACCATACAAAATAATAAATTCAAAATGGTTAAAAGACAAATATAAGACTCAAAGCCATAAAAATCCTAGATGAAAACATAGCCAGTAAAATCTTATACCTTTCTTGTAGCAATACTTTATCTGATATATCTCCTCAGGCAAGGGAATCAAAACAAAAAATGAACAAATAGCACTAAATCAAACTAAAAAGTTTTTGTACAACAAAGAAAATCATCAACAAAACGAAAAGACAACCCACTAAATGAAAGAACATATTCACCAATGATACATCTGATAAGAGGTTAAAACCCAAAATTTATAAAGAACTTTTACAACTCAACACCAAAATAACAAACAATCCAATTAAAAAAATGAGCAGAGAAATTTAATAGGTACTTCTCCAAAGAGAACATACATCTGGCCAACAGGCATATGAAGAGATGCTCTATATCACTAATCAGAGACATGTAAATTAAAGCAACAATGAGATATCACCTCATAGGTGTCAGAGTGGTATCACCAATATATCAACAAACAACAAGTGTTGTCAAGGATGTGAAGAAAAGAGAACCCTTGTGCACTGTTCGTGGGAATGCAAATTGATATAGTCAGTGTGGAAAATGCATGGTTAAATTCCTCAAAAAGTTGAAAATGAAACTACCTTATGACAGCAATTTCACTTCTGGGAATAAATCTGAAGAAAATTGAAACACTGATGCAAAATAATATATGGACTACTATGTCCATTGCAGTGCTATTGACAATAGTTCATCTTTGGAAATAGTCCAAGTGCCCATTAGTAAATGAGTGGATCAAAAAGCTGTTGTACATTTATACAATGCAATATTACTTGTCCATAAAAAGAAGAATATATTACCTTTTTTATACAGCATGGATGAATCTAGAGGGTATTATTCCAATGAAATAAGCCAACCATAGAAAAACAAATACTATATGTTTTCACTTATATGTGGAATCTAATGAACAAAATAAAGAAACAAAATAGAAACAGACTCAGACACAGAGAACAGACTGTCAGCTGTCAGAGGGGAAGTGGGTTGGAAAGATGGGTGGAAAAATTGAAGATAATAAGGAAAAAAAAAACAACTCATAGACACAGACAACAGTATGGAGATTGCCAGAGAGAAAGGGGATGAGGAGAGGTAGAATAAGGTAAAGGAGGGGTAAATAGTTTCAGAAGGAGACTTGACTTTTGGTAGTGAACACACAATACAATATACACAGGATGTATTCTATAATTGTACACTTGAAACCTATATAATTTTATTAACCAATGCCACCCTAATAAATTTTAACAATTAAAACAGAGACAGATTTACAGATGGAGAACAGATGACAGCTAATGTTGGGGAGAGGTTAGGAGGTGGAGGGATTAAGCAGAAAGGAAAAAAAGACTCATGGACATGGACAACAGTGTGGTGATTCCTTGGGATAAAGGAGTATAAGGAGACTAAATGGTAATGGAAAAATCTAATAAAGATTAAATTAAAAAATAAAATTTAAAACATTTTAAAAATCCAAAGAACTCTTAAAAATCAGTAAACCAACATTAGGGGTATTTGATATAAGGGAAAGATTAGAAATCATTTATTATAATGTATTTTGGTTAATAAGCAAAAAATATTTGGTATTTTATATATTACACATGAACACCACAATCAATGGGTGCCTCACATTTTGTTGTTCAGAGAGTTGTTAACAAAACTCAAATATTGAATTGCTGGGCTGTCACTTTATTTCAAATCAATTCAACACATTTTTGAGAAATTATTATGTGTCAGAAACTGTGCGGTCTTATGTGAGATAAAAAATGAACAAGATAAAACCTGCTGCTGCACTTAAAATATGGAGAAAATGAGTATGTCAACAATACTTATATCTGAGGCAGAATGGGATTTTACCGAAATAGACTCACTATATATTATGTGCATAGGTAATCTCATTTAATCTTGCTGACAGCTTTTGAGTCACACAACATTATCGCCACTGTTATGGATGAGAACAGAGAAGCTCAGGGATGTTAGCTAACTCTCCAAAAAAATGTAGCTGGTAAATGGCAAAGCCAGGATTCAAAATGAGGTAGTTTTCATGACTCCAAAATTCTTGCTCCATCCTCTATGCTTAGCCACCTTGTTTACATAGTTTGGAGGTATAGTGTTAGAGGAATACAATAAATCAACAAACACAATCCAATAGTTGGGTTTAAACCAGACTGTAAATATTTGAAATGTTATATCAAAATCAGTCTAATCTTTGGGACCTGATCCAGAAGAAAACTAAGCATCAAAAGTTAAAGTGGTCTCTCAGATTAGCACTAGAGCATCTGGAAGAATGCTGTAGCTCCATTCTGAACAGACTCTGAAACAGAGAAAACAGCACACATTTATGATGTAGCAGAAGGTGATGAGAGGTCTTATGAATGGTTCCATTGATATTTTTTCCATGGAATATATGTTTATTCTACCCTGAAGTTTCATGATGTTAAATAAACAATATGTTTACTCCATTAAACATCTGATAAATTTAATAGAAACAGATCAGAAAAACAGATTATTAGAAATACGCAGAACAGCACAATAAGTCTCAAAGACACTAATGAGAAAGTGGATATTATTTTTAATCATATTTATTCTATTACAGTTGTCTCAATTTTTCTCTGTTTGCCCTCTGCACCCATTACACCCCAACTTCTTCTTCAACAGTCAATTACCACTCTGTTGTCCATGTCCATGGGTAATTCATATAAGTTCTTTCTTTAGTCCCTTCCCTTTCTTTCCACCATTGTCCTCTTTTCCAATCCCCTCTGGTCACTATCAGTCTGCTCCATGTTACTTTGCCTGTACATTATTTTGTTTATTAGTTTATTTTGTTGACTAGAATCCACTTATAGGTGAGATCATATGGTATTATTCTTTCAACTACTGGCTTATTTCACCTAGCACAACATTCTCCAGTTCCATGCATATTGTCACAAAAGGTAAGAGTTCCTTCTTTCTTTCTTTCTTTATTTATTTTTTTAATTTTTAAAATACACTTTATTTATTTTTTATAAAATAATACCTTATATTTTTAATTAATTAATTTATTTTTTCAAATACATTTGTCTCCACCTTCCCTCCCACCACTTTCCCTTTCCTCGGTCCCAGCTCTCACTCCCTCAATGTTTCCTCACCTTAGCTTTGTCCATTAGTCCTTCCTATATATTCCTTGATTTGCCCCTTCCCATCCTTTTGCCCCGCCCACCCCTCCCTCCTTCCCTCTTGTCTCTGTTGGTTTCTTTTTATTTTAGTGTTGCTAGTTTTATTTTCCTAGCTTCTTTCTTTTGTTGGTTGGATTCCATTTATAAGTGAGATCATATGGTACCTGTCTTTCACCCCTGGGTTATTTCTCTAAGCATAATGCTCTCTAGTTCCATCCATGCTATCGCGAAGTTTAATAGTTCTTTTTTTTTTCTTTCTGCTGCATAGTATTCCATTGTATAAATGTACCATATATTTTAATCCA